AAAGCTCAGTGTCTCTGGGCTACAATTTCGAGCCACAGACCCTGCATTTGTTGTGCCTCAAACATGACCTTGAGGCTTCTTCCCATTACACACACAGCCCACAACAGTGTTAACCAGTCTTCTGTCTGGGTAAGAAAGCCCAGTGCAAGCTATGCCTTTCTGCCAGTGTCTGTATTGCCCCGTAGCAGGAAACAACATGGCAATCTAGGATGCAGGCAAGCCAAGCCAATGGTAGGCTCACTTTCAATGGTGTCATGCTATTTAGGAGAAAAGAAAAATCGAATCAAATCACAGCAAGATTTCAGTGCCTGGTGAGAATCAGAGTATCAAGGGCTGTGTTGTGTCCTGCAGCTGCCTACTGCCTGTGGGAGAAGCAAGTAGCCACAGTATCTCAGACTTGAAGAGGGATGTGCTGTGCATTTCTACATGAATGTTTTTGCTCCAGAGAAGCTGTAGTATAGTGACACTTAGTGGTGAAGTGTGACATGGCCACTCAGCTCTATAAGCTATTACAACCATTCACAGGGAGAATGAAGGATAAGTGTCAGGAAGGCTGTGTGTGCCCAAGTGTGACCTACCGTCTCCCAAGTTCTGAAAGAAAGTATGTGTGGTGGATTTGCAAGTGTGAGGGTCACCAGGGATGGTTTTTAAAAGAGTGCCAGGCTTCTGCTTGTCAAAGAAATGCTACTTCTATCTAAAGTAGGCTTCAGCTTACCTTGCTCCATTCTGCCTGTCAGAGCAGTCTTTGTGCTCCAGTTGATGATATATACCCTGAGGTATTTGGGAAGAGTGTTACCATGCCTGCAACTCATCTTGTGTGGTGGATGGATAGAGTGGGTAGACTAAAAGAAAGGTGATAAAGACAGAAAAAGCAATCCTAATCTAAAAATTCAAAATGCTCTGAAATCCAACTTTTTTTTTTTTTTTTTTGAGCAGTGACATGACACTGCAGTGGAAAATTCCATGATGTCTGACCTAATGTGACAGGTTGCAGTTAAAACACAGGTGTATTTAAAAACAACAACAACAACAAAAAACATTGTATGAAATTACCTTCAGGCCAGGTGGGAAAGGTGTATCTGAAACATATAAATTTCATGTTTAAACTTAGGTCCCACCCCCAAGATGTTATTATATATATGCAAATTCTCCAGAATCTGAAAAAGTCCACAATCCAAAGCATTTCAGATTAAGAGATGCCAACCTGTAGTTGAATCTGTGGGGGATGGAGTATTCCTTGTAAAATTCTTTCGTAAGAAATTTTAAACTTGTTAAGTCATTTTTATAATGTGAGGGTTACTGGGTCAAGCACACATGGAGGGGGGAGGGATTGAGGGAGGGCGAGAGAGAATGCACAACAAGAACAATAGAAGCAAGGCATAACAGTTTCAGTATGTGGCTACAAAATAAAAATGGTCCCGTGTGCTACCTGGAGACCTTCCTACTTACATCAGTGCTGACTGGATTGCCGAACTCCTGATCCTTGGTTAGGGAATTAAGATGGTCCAAATTCAGGGCCATAGATTATATGGACCCTCTGCCTTACTTGGAGAGCAGGGCTATAGAAATGCAAATAAAGCTCAGGGTTGCAGACAAAACTCTAAGCAGCACTTAGGTGACAACCCCAATGTATATGCAGCCTCAGGCAGCCGAAAGACACTCCAGAATTGTTCAGAATGCCGTGCTTGCTTCTCTCATGGGTTACTGTATTTTTATTCTGGGAATGTTTAGAATTAAATGTAGAAAATTTTAACAATCAAAACATTTCTACTTAAAAGATTTCTGTATATTTGATATTTCAAGTAATTAAAATAATTTGGTCTAGGCTATAGATGAGTCTGTATTTCAAAATTCTAATGTGCAGTGAAGTAAATAATTGCTCTAGATTGGGAGAGTTGAAATGTTGCTAGGTTTATAAGCAGTATTAGAGCAGTTAGAAGAAATTGTTGGGTTTCTAAGAGGTGTTTAAGGGAAGGCTCTGAAGTTAAAGCAGACAATTCTAATATTTAAGAGTTCCATAATTACCATTCCTGAAACATGTTATAAAAGAAGGAATACAGGCTTTTTGAAAGGCAAGAGAGATAGGATACACCTTTGGTGAAATGGTGGCTACAGAGTCGTGCTCAGCACAGCACTCAGCAAGGACCTGCTGTTGGAATGATTTTGTAGAAAAAAATTCTATTTGCATTGACTCCAGGGTACACTGTCAGCTGTGGCTATTTTGGATATTGATCTTACTCCTTCAGCCAAATGCTGTAAGAAATTGAAAATAGGTATATAGGTTATATTTTACACCTATCAAACTCTTCTGTCTGCATTCACAGGAAATGAGCAAGTTTGGGGCAGGAGACCTATTTTTCCCTGCAGTCTGGACAAGGTTCAGAAAATTGAATGTCATACAGAGCCCTGGATTTATTTTGTCTTGGCCATTCAGACAGCCCTGAACAGGGTGTACAGTGAGGCTCTGAGCTGGAGGATGCTTGGCTTGTCTGCAGACATTGTCTTTTAGGTCTGGCTTCTGGTAATTAGGCACTCCTAGCTGGGCTCTGCTGTCAGCGAGATTTGAGACAAATTGCAAAATCTGTACAACCATCTGAGAGATGGACAAGTAGACCCAAGGACACTACAGGGGATATTGGTAGTTCTCAAAGTTTGAAAAAGAATGCTTAGAGAAGCAGTCCTGAAAACTGAATTTCAAGGTGCTTTTCCTCTAAATGTACCTTAAAGAGTGTATTCAGTTACAGAATCAAGATCTGAGAAGATGATAGGCTAAATTTAATAGGATGAAGTAGAGTAGAAATAAATGTAAGGTTCTGTATTTGGGTCTGAAAATCGCAGCTGTGCATGAAAAGACTGGTAGCAAGGGGAAAGGATGTATCTGAGGAGTAGCCCATATGAACAAGATTTAGGAGTTCAAGTTGGTGTAAATTGACAGTTTGTTGTGATTCTTAAAAATTAAATTGTGATATTAAGCTATGTTAACAGAAGTATTTAGGATGAAGAGGTGATAAGCATACTCTGTTGTCATACCAGGACTATTGTTATAGTTCTAGATTCCAGGCCCTGAAAGGAAAATGGATAAAAGATAGTCTGGAAATGTTCCAAAGCTTGTCACAGAGAACAAAGGAACAGGGGAGATTTAGCTTCTGTGTAACTCCGGGGGTATCTGGAATCTTATGCATAAAGGACTAACATTGCTCTTGCCAAATTAAGAGGAATGAGATCTGTGGATGAAAATTACAACAAGCCCCTTTTTATTCTTAAATACGTTCAGAGAATAATAGGCTGCTTTCTCAGTTCTAGACATGGTGGCTTAGGCTTATGGGGGCTTAGAATTTCAGAGGTGGGAATGGATGACCCAGAGGTACTTTCTTTTTTGTTTTTTTGGTGGTACTAGGGTTTAAACTCAGGGCCTCAAGCTTGCTAGGCAGTGCTCTGTCAGCTCTCCAGAGGTACTTTCTAGTCCCAAGATGGCTTGATGCCTTTGCCTTCTGGTGATAGCCATGTCTTGCACATTCCTAATGGGCAAGGATGGCCCAGGAGCACCATGATGACAGGAACATTCTAGGCAGTGATGAGAGAGACTTTAGAGTCTAGGACACAGTTTCATTTAGTATACACTTGCATTGGTCCTCATCAGCACTGCAAGGGAGGTCTGAGGATGTGGTCACTCTCTCACCAGAGGCTGTGTTACCTCTTCTTTCATTCTTTGTGTTCTTAGGAGGGTACTGGATGCTAGGAAGACTTGGGAAAAAGCCAGACAGAATTCTTCCCCTCTTTGGGTGTGCATTGTGTCTGGGAAGCTCAACAGCAAACACAAACCATGACGCCAATGCTAAGTTCTAACTGTTGTGCAGTTGGCATGTGCTATGAAAGAGTGCAGTTGTGTGGATTGTACGTACAGGTAGGAGACCAAACCCAGTCAGGTGGGGCGCTGAAGGAGATGTACAATCTAGCAGTCTCAGGGTGGCAAGAGCACTTGAAGGAATGTCATAACTGTTGGCTTCAAACTTGTTCTTGACCAAAGGAGTTCTCATCCGGATGAAGCTGAGTTAAAGGCAGCCCAAAGCAGCCTTATGAAGCAAAGGTGCCTGTTTACCACATAGTATGTGTAAATACTTTTTAGTTCCTGAAGTCACAAATCAGATTCTCTCAAAAGGATAGTGGGGTTTTCATTTCACATGGTGTTTTAGCAATGTTTCCCTGCTTACCTTCTAGGGATATATTCCTTGTTGTATTACAGTTCTTTGACATCCTGGTGGAGTAAGAATGGATAGATTTTGTTCACTTTCAGGTATTTTCTTTCCCACAAGGTTAGAAAGGTTGAGTTATACCCCCTACCCCCACTGGCATGGTCTTATGTGCAGTTAGTTCCTAGTGCAAAGACCACCTTTCAGGGGTTCCTGCTTTCGGGCCACTCAGCTTCCTCCCAGTGTGGGGCTGTTGACCATAGGCAGTTCATTCTCTTGTAGCTGTAATGACTGTAACTGGAGGTATCTATAGGCACAAGCTTGGATGAAGGGGTAAATTAGTATTAAAAATAAAAGGAGCTGAGTTTGTTTATTCCCAGACCACCCTTCTTTGTATTTGTAGCTTTTAGGAGTGACCACCCATTTAGGTACAAGCAAGCAAACAAATAAACAAACACAAAGGCACATTTAAAAAGATACATTTTGGCCTGGGGTATGTCTTAAGTAGTAAAGCACCTGCCTAGCTAGTAGAGTGAGGCACTGAGTTCAAACCCCAGTACTGCCCAAAAAAATAAAAGAAAAAGATACATTTCTATCTTTGATGGGTAGAAAATTTAAATTAAGTGCCCTTCCTTTGAAATTTCCTTAGTAAATGTTTTTTCAAGCAATCGTACTGTTTATTTTTCTGTCATGAATAAGCACATAGCTGCAGTTTAAAATTCTTGATTCTAAATTCTATTCTTAGCTTTCAGGGGCTGCTGTTTTGTTTTATTTGTAACCCACCTTATTGTGAATTCTTCTTTCTTTCAGGTAGGAATGAATTGATAGCCAGATACATCAAACTCAGGACAGGGAAGACAAGGACCAGAAAGCAGGTATAGTAGCCGGCCTGGGAGTTATGCATGTCCGTGAATGGCCCCAGGAGGCGTTGGGCTGCCTTGGCTGCTCTGCTTTGGCTCTAGGAGCCCTGTTCCAGTTCCCTGTAAGGAGGCAGCATCATAGGTGCTCTGGATTGGCTCCTTTCCACTGTGCATCATTTCAGTGACCCTTGAGAGTGTAGCCTCCTGTTTCTCCTCACAGGCATGTGTGGAAGTTTCACTGCTAAGGACAGTGTCTGAACTGCCCCATGCTGTGTTTCAAAGCTGCCACTTCTTTCCCAAAAGTACATCTGCCAACACAGCAAAAGCTGCAGGTGCAGCTGCATTTTCAAGCCAGGAGATTCTGAGATTCTGTGCCTGTAACATCCTGGAATGATTATGTGTTAGTCATCCTTTCAGTGAGGAAGTCATGCTAGCAGTCTTGAGTGAGTATTGGCCTGAATATGGAGCTGAATGATGTGCATCCAGAGCACAGTGCTTCTTAAGCCATGGCTTTTTGTCAGTAGCTGCCGTGACTGAAACACAGTTATAACTTAAATATCTCTGTGTAGGGCAGGGGCAGAACTTCTCTGCCCTTGAGCAGGGTTCTGTCATCACTGGTTCTATCAGATGTAAAGCAGTCCAAATCTCTGATCTGACCCAGTTCACAACTAAAATGTATGAGAAATTAGTGTTTAACTAAAAGTAGAAAAGGAAAGGTAAAGGAAACAAACCAACTCATCTGATAGGTGAGTTGTTAACAGAAAGACATTTATTTTTTTAATGTTGACCTATGCTAAATGATACAGCACCAGACCTTAAAAACTACAGTCAGTGTCAAGAACTGGTAGCTCACACCTGTAATCCTAGCTACTTGGGAGACTGAGATCAGGAGGCTAGAGGTTTGAGGCCAGCTTGGGCAAATAATTTAGGACACCCGGTCTCTAAAATAACCAGAGCAAAAATGGACTAGAGGCATGGCTCAAGCAGTAGAGCATCTGCTTTGCAAGTGTGAAACCCTGAGTTCAAATCCCCATCCTACCTCCCCCGCCAAAAAACCCCAAATCAAAAACCATACAATCAACCGGTGTTATAATATGCACCTATGTTGTGGGAGGCTGAGGCAGGAAGATTGCTTGAACCCCAGAGTTTGAGACCAGCCTGGGCAATGTTTTGTGATTTTGTATCAAAATAGCAAAAACCCAAACCAAAAAGTTATAATCAAACCCCAAATGCAAGCTAACTTTTGGTCACTGTAAGACTGAGCCAACGAAATGGGTTCTCCTCCCAGGGAGGAGTTGTTTCTGTGAGTGTTGATTGGGGGCTGGGCCTTCCCCCTGGAATGCTGCATGTGTTGGGGCCTGGTGCTGAGTCAGCACAAAGGGGTGGCCTCCTGCCAGCACAGAGGCCAACATTGTCTGCTGGGAGATGCTCCCCGAAACATGGCCCTCATCACAGGCAACAAAATTGAGGTGAAAATAAGTAACAGCAGGAGCTACAGATGGAGGGGTGATGTGGACTGGGGAGTCCCTGCTTCTTTGTACTTTAAAAAAAAATAGTACAAAAGCAAATTTTTTTAAAAAATCGAATAATTGAAATTCAAAGACAAATTTAAAGATCAAAGGATCTTTTATTATCATAAACCCTGTTTTTAGAGTCACTGGAGAGTTTGAAATGAGGTAATTGCCATGAAGTCCAAATCACTGAACTTGTAAATGGAAGGTTCTAAATTCCCAAAACCGACAGAGCTAATCAATTACCTAGTACAAGTGCTGAACCTGGGCTGTCTGCTGGCCAGGGAGCTCTGGTCATTTGCTGGGTGACCCCTTCAACTGGGGGACTCTTCTAAATTTAACTAAGTCCCACTGAAAGAGATGCAAATTTGTTTACAGGGTGGAATCATTGTATTCCAGAAGCCATCTTGGCAAGACTTCCACACCCTAGCATCCTGGGGGTGCTTTTAGGCAGCAGTTGGTGATATCTCTCAATGTGAATTTGTTGTTCAGCAAATCCATGTGGTTTTCAACCCAGATTTTCAACAGGATGGCTGGCTGGCTGCATTCACACATTTCGCTTTGTAATAATATGCAAATCCACTTGGCACCCAGTCAATACCCAAAAGAGTAGAAGGATTAAAGATATTTATAAGGGCAAAAAAAAAAAAAAAAAAAACTCTGCTAACTGGGTCTTTTCCATTTCTCTTTGAGATGTAATTTCCATGTGAGTATTATTTTAACATTTGCTACAGAATCCAAAGCTCATAATGAGATCAGAATACAACTGACAGCTTCAGCTTTTTGATTTTGCAGAGTGTGCTAATTTATGGATAGTCTCCTCTAAATTGAGAAAAAGGGATTTTCCCTCCTGATATGGAGAAGCTACAAGTATTTTCATCTACCTCTACTCCCACTTTTTTTTTTTTAATTTGTAAAGAAAACAATCCTATTCTTCCCCCTCTCATCCCTCCCAGTGCCCATGATTTCTCCAGGGTAAGAAAACTATGATGAGCTTAAACTTTTGTCCTCAATCAAGTCACTGCAGTGATGACCCGGTCTGAAAGGCTTAAAGCAGTGCTGGGGGCTTGGTGTCTGGCTGGGACTGTGTATTCCTAACTGCAGAGCTTTGTTGAGATGCAAATAACCTCCCCCCACCCTCCCCAAACCCTCCCAAGGAGCAGAGATTTTATATTTGATTTCCTTTTTTTGTTTTGTTTTGTTTTGTTTTGTTTCCCTTCATAAACCCGAACAATGTAGGTGTCTAGTCATATACAGGTCTTAGCAAGAAAGAAAGTTCGAGAAATTCAAGCCGCCATTAAGGTACGTCTGGCTTGCCCAGTTGTAGGGGGCTTTTCATCTCCATGGTTACAGGCTTTTCCTTTGTTTTCCTCCCTTCCCCTACCCTGCAGGTGTCTAGTCACATTCAGGTTCTTGCCAGAAGGAAATCTCGTGATTTTCATTCCAAGCTAAAGGTATGCGCTTTTCTGCTTTTTGGCTTGTGGTTGCTATGCATCTCACTTCCTGTTTTCCATGGTGACTGGTGAATGCCTGGTGCTGGGATTCTCGTAACCTAGTTTCCTTGCATGTGAGAGCTGTTTACATTTCTTTGTGTCTAATCTCTCTGTTTCTGTACTAGCCTCACATTAAGCTCAATGTGCGTGTGTGAGTGTGCGTGTGTGTGTTCCTAATAACAATGCAAATGCAGCAGAGAGCTGGTCTTGATAACTTTTCAGCACAGAAACATGATTTTTTTTTTTTTTTTAACTACCTCGAATGTCCACCAAGCAGACCTGGGCTAGCAGAGCTTTGAAACACACATCCAGATATGCAAAGTGATGGACACATTATTTTTCTTTTAAAAGAATCATTTCCAGAGTTCTCATGAAATTATTTTTAATATATTTAGAAATTTTAATTTGTGCTTTTGATATATTTTCAAAAACACTTAGAAAAAAGCATCTTTTTCATGTTTTTGTCTTCCATGTTTATTTCAGTCAGATTTCTTCCACATTACCTATGATACTGTTTTTTAAGTGAATATGGCTTCGTTATTAAAAGAGAAATTTAAGTGTGGCCCTAACAACCTTAGAGATGGGAATTACTCTTGATGGTGAAACTCATATTTACACTTCCATTTATACTTGAGTTTACTCAGAAAGTTTTAAAAATGTGCCTTACATTTCACAGCACAAATGAAGGCATGGGTAATTTTTAAATACAAGTTCTTACATTTTCGTTTCTAAAATTTACAGTAAAACATAGATGGCTTTTATTTTTTTCTGTGATGCCATATTTTAGAGACGCAAAAGGATTACAGTTGGCTTGGGGGAGTCTTATTTATGATAAAGTAGATTTTTTTAGACCATATTGTTGCCTTCCCTCTGTGCCTTTTTTCCCTCGTGCACTAATTAAACTTGCGGTTTTGTCCCACATGACAAACCAGTGCATTTCACAGCACTGGGACCCTCCCCAGTCCTTCCAACTTTTTTTCTTAATGCAAACCAGGCTGGCTGTGGAACAGTACTAGGACTAGGAAGGAGCATTTGGTGTGCCCTCTGCAGTGGGCAGCATGCTGGCTCGCTCGCACGTGTGGCTGATGGTGGCTGGCTTCGAGCTGCACTGGCTGAGCAGTTGGAAGGCTAAGATAACTTCCTAGACCCTGCTTTTTAACCATAGGTGCCGTACTCTCTGTGGATGTAACTACCCCAGTGTTTGCTCAAGTTCTGACTCTGTTTCTAGTTTCTCTGAGCTAATGAATTAATGATGTACAAAGAAGTTTACATATACCAATTTTGTGTTTCCATCTGTGATGTTACAAATTGCTCTATATTCTGTGTGTTTCCTGTTGACTTATGGGGCACAGGCCTAGACTCAAAGCCTTGTAAGTGACAAAAAAAATGCTGTCTTGTTCCAAAGGGACCTCTATGGGATACAGGAAGATTACTTGGTGATTTCAAGAATTTTTTTCCGTAAAATAATTTTGCCATTGTTTTATATGTATGAATGTATTCAGACATAGCTGTGTTTATCTTTGTTCCTAAAAAAATAAAAGGAAGCTCTCCCCCACTTTCAGCCCTGGCTCTTCCTCAGTGTGGGCATAAGGAAGAGGTGGAAACAGGTTGTAGGGTAGCATCTGGCTCAGCATTTAAGCTCCAAGAACCACCTCCGCCTGATAGGTCCTTTCTTCTTCCCTACCACATCATCCCAGAAAAAATGGAGTCAGTTGTCTGTTTTCCCATCAGCTAATAATACCAGCTAAGTGTCTGGGTGTGGCATTCATCATGGTGAGCAGAGCTGACCATGTAAAAGAGAATGTGAGATAAAGGGCACTTCTGAGTGAGTGTAAGCAGGAAGAACCACAGTGAAACATGGAGTCCCAGGGACAGGCTATTGAGGAATGTACTTCTGAGTTTGGGAATTACAAAACTTGTTTTTCTAATGTGGAGCCTCCTGCATGGTCTCTGAGTTAAGCTTGCTTTGAACACAATTCAGGAAACTAAGGTTCAAAGAGGGTAACTGATTTGAAAAAAGGCACCAGCCTAGTTAGTAGCAGAGGCAGGACTGGAACTCAGCTTTTTCTGAATCCTAAACTGTTCTCTCAGGAAGGGTCTCATTTAGTGGAGATCAAGCAAAAGGCTTCATGTCAGCACACTCACTGTACAGAACCCATCCGCCTTCTCGTTCCCTAGAGCAGAGCACAGAGCTCTTGCTACCAGCCCTGCATTAAGCACCCATGTTTTACCTCTGAATCTGTGGTCAGAATGTAAACTTAATTTGGTTCTGACATTGTGGGGGTCATTGGTAACTTAGGGGGTCATCTGGTCCTGGATGCAGAGCTTCTGTGTCACCACTCTGAGGGTATCACAGAGTGTCACCTCTCCTGCTGGCTGGTGCTGTTGTGCCTTCATTCTCCCAACAGACTCAATATCTGTACCCTTCCTTTCTAGCCACAACCAGTATTTGTGCTTTCCTTCTGGGCTCTGTGAGAAGGAAGGAGTAGTGTCTTCATTGAGTGGGGTTGATGATAACACTGGTCTTCTTGGCCTTCCACCCTAAATGAAATAAACTCATTACAAAAATTTGAAGGCGTCCTAGAAGATAAAGGTAGCTTCTGAGTCGGTCACTGGAGGGGGGCAGTCAAGATTACACACTTTGCCTGAGAATGAGATGTAGGAGGCTTCTCAGAGAAGGTGACCAATGACTGCCATCTCCAGGCTGGTTTTGCTGGCACTGCCTCCACCAGGCTGGTCTCCACATACTCCAAAAACAAAGGGATAGGAAAGGTCTGTGGTCCTCCTGTGAAGACCACAGTCAGCTTGCACTTCCCATCTTCCCATGGAGTTTTAAACAGTGGCTTGCCCACTGCCAGCTATGGCTGTCTTGTGAGCTTTCTTCCTTCTAAATCTTTCCATTTTTTTCCCAGGAAAAGATTATTTAGGCTACTGGTTTTCCAGCCTTTTTTTTTTTTTTTTCTTTTTAAAGCATCAAAACTTGTGTTTTTTAATTGAAATCTTAACTGAAATTGTCAATATAGGAGTGAGTAAAAAAGTATTTTGATTAAAACTCACCTTCTTGCATCCTTAATAGTAGACCCTTTGCCTGTTCCATTGAACACAGTGTAAGAAACCACCCTGCTTCAGGAAGAAGGGAAACGGGGTTGACCACCTCTCTGTTTCCCAGCCTTTATTGGACAGCTCGTGTGTCTCATTAAAACTCATGTTTCTCACTTCTGTAGTCTGCTCTGTGTTCCTCAGAAGAAAACAGACTCACAGAGAGATAGTGGTCATTCTCATGTCACATTCACAAATGAGTCATCCTGGATTTAAAGTCACTTTCTACAGTCTGTTAGAATGAGTTCCAAAGGTCAGCTCTGAGTTTCTACTGGTTCTCAGGATGCTGGTTTGAGGGCCAGATCACTTTCACAATGTGCTGACTTTAATTATATTTTAATTTTAGCAAAGAAAAAATTATTCTAGTAAACATGTAGTATTTCCACATGGATTTGAATTTAAAAGCAGAGAGATGATTATTTGCCCACTGACATGTCATTGAGGATCTTGCAGATGTTCAGCTTATAGAGTTGTATATGCAGAGTCCATGTTCTTTCTGTTACTTGCCAGTAGGTTGTCTGTAGTTAAGACTCAGCAGTAGGAATTAAACAGGGTCTGAAAAGGCTGCCCAAAAAAGAATGATTAATTCTGAGAGTGGGAGTTTGAAGAAAGCTTGTGGAAGAGATGCCATTAGAATTGACCCTAGTGAATTTCCATGGAGATGGGGTGTCAGAGGCATCCTAAAGAATACCCAGGAGGCATGGGATGGGAGAAGACTGGAGCCATCTATCTGGTAGGCTCTACCTCATCCTGCTGAGCAGGGAGGATTGGCCTTGGGGTACTGGGGAGCATTAGGAGATCTTCAAATGTATCATTTGGAAATACCTCTGCAGCTGGTTTTTGGAAGATAGTTAATAAGAGGGGAGACCAAGCTGGAGGCAGGGAGTCTAGTTCCTGGGCTGCTGTGAGTGGGTAAGAGAAGTGGGGACCTGGACCAGGGACTGACCCCCATAGCCCACTTTGCTCTGATGCCCTCATCTGTCCTCGTGGTCACCCTTAGCTGTCCCCCCACTCCAGTCTTCTCTGACTGCTCTGTGCTCTTTGCTCCTCATTGTTTTTTCCTTGTTGAGTTATGTTTGCAAGTTCTATCCCTGTTAAGCCTGAAAAATGTACACTAGAACTTTTAAGAAAGATTTTCAAAGACAGCATTGAAAACTTAGCTTAAACGTTGGGTTCTCTTCAAGTAACTAAGGGGATGTGTCAAAATTAACTTGATGTTTTTGTTGTACAGGGAAGACAATTGTAAACACTCATGCTTGTACTATGGAGGCATGGCTACCGAACACATCTAAGTCACCCAGTACAGCCAAAAAACAAACAAAAAGCCAGAAACGATCATCTTCATTGTGACATAATTCCTTTTAAGTTTCTTTAAGTGAAAGAGATCAAATGATAAAACATTATTCTGTACTTTTTCTGATTTCCTCTACCAACCCTTCTTTCCTAGCCAAAATTAATTTCTCCTTCTCTTCCCACTCTAAGAGTCTTTCTTTGCTGTTTCCCTGACAAAATCAAGTCCAGTGAAAACTCTTCTCCTTTTGCACTGTCTTAAAATTAATCTAAATGTTTAGACATCATCAGCCATAAGTTTGTGCTGTAGCTATTGGCATCAACATAAGACTTTTTCTCTGCAAATATACAGAGTCTAAGAGGATAAACTTGGCTGACAATTTGCAGTGACCATCCATACAGACCATGAACAAATGGGAGAGACGCAGAGAATGAGAAAACGGGGTGGTTGAAATAGTGCAGACCACTGGGGTATAACTCAGTGGTAGAGTGCTTACTTAGCATGTGAAAGGCCCTGGGTTTGATCACCACATCACAAAAAATTTTGAATAAAATAAGAGAAGAAAAGAAAT